AGAGTAGGCCGGGGAAAATGTCATCAGATTCTGCTGCGTAATCCTTTACGCGCAAACATGAGCACTCTCACGCACATCAGCGGCCTGCGATATAGTCTTGTATTAGTGCGGTTGTAGCAGGCATGTCGTTAAGTCTTACGTATTGCCGTCAAAAGATTTTAAATACAATTTATACGAATCACAGTTTTTATCTTATACTCGTGATATTATTTTCTATATTCAGAATTTTTTGAATTCAGTAAATCTTCACTTGAGGTTTCGTAGAACAACTTTTTCAAATTGAATAACGTTTAAATCAATTTATTTTCCCCGTACCTACTGTTTTCAAAGCAGAAGTAAAAATTGAAAAAATTTTAATTCAAACCGTGGACTATAATATTTTTTGATAAAATACGTATTAATTACATTTTGTGTTTAGAAATTACAATTATTGTACTAGACAATTTATTGTTATAATATTTAATATTGGACTATAATAATCTATTTTGAATACAAACGAAAAAATATTAATAAATATTGAAAGAAATTTTTCATAAAAAATCAAATCAGTAGATTGAAATATATTTCAACTGGAAGTATTTATCATTCTCCTCCCCTTTCCTAGTTTTATCAGTAAACCGTATGATTTATACAAAATCTATACATATATTATCGTATATCATCGTTTGATAACCGTTTTAATGGTGGTAAACTAGTAAGATGGGTGCACCAGTCGCCGTAAAGTCGAATGCAATTACCAGAGACAAAGGTTTGTATCAATAATAAAAAAACGCAGTGACAAAGACCGTCATAAATTAAATTATTGCAGAGTTTCGAAAAAAGAATATCGGTTTTAGTACCAGTACCACCAGTATCTTTTCCTCGGTCCTTTTGACCTATTTGTTCTCTCCCTGCTAGATTCGTGACACTTATGATCCCTCTCGCGATACACCGCCGAAGACGAAGCGACAGAAACTTTGACTGTGACATACGGTGTACTAATCGCGATCCGAGACGAGATTTATTTATTTTAATTTGTTTATCCGTTTTGATTCTATTTTTTTATTTTTTTACCGGATTTTTTTTTAATCCGTTTTTCCTATCAGTTTTTGTCGCTTCGCCCATGGACCCAATCGTGTAACGTATTCGATTACATACGGTGCGCCGCACGATTTTCATTTTTTCTCGTTCTTTTACACTCGAGCACGCGTAAATATATGCATTCACGCTTATATACATACACTAACCGCAATGTATCATAATAATATATTGTTCGTCATCGTCATCAGTTTTACGGAAAAACGACCAGCAGCGGGGTCGACGTTCTCATTCTGTTATTTATCCCTATACCACATCGTCTTCCGTTCGCAGTCCGCGTCGTCATATGTTTTATGATGAAAATACATACACTACCATACTACAGTCAGGGGCGTGCGATTCGCCTTAGACCGCCAACATCATCATCGCCGTCAAATTATATTATTATAGTTATCATCCTGCGGGACGAAACGAATTTCATTCGACTATTATGAAATATGCTCTAAAAAATATTATCGTACAATATGTATTAACATAAATCATACATACGTATACGTAAATGTATAGATTTACTCGTACGTGCGATGACGATGATAGTTTAATTAATTTACTTAGGAAAACACAAACTTTTCTTGCACATAGACTGCAGTTATTATTCTTCGAACCGTTTTATTGTTTTTTACCAAGACCTTTCATGATAACTGTTTCTCTTGATTTAAATTCATTATATTTTTTTCATATAATATTTTAAGTTTCAAAATTATATTGCAAACTCCAATAAATAAACCGTTTTAGTAAAATTTTCCACTCAGTCATGAATAATATAACATAACTATTTATAATACAATAATTCAGTTAACTGTTATAATAATTTTTCATAAAATCGCAAGTTATATAGTACACTACATTTTTTAACTATCTAACTAACTACTCAAGCATCCATATATTTTTTAGTACACTTCCAAGCAAATATTTATTTACATTTAACCTTAAATATAGCGTAAAATCAATTGCGTATTTTAAAAGAAAAATTATTTTAATTATTACTTGTATGTTTAACCTAAACTATTTTTAAATTATAAAAACAATTTATTCACGTGAATAATATAACTGTACACTTATTAGTTATTATCAAAAACAAAAAAGTTGTAATTATGATTGTACGGAATCATATACTTGTTTAAATAAAAACAATATTTTAGTGGGGCATAGTTTTGACAATCATTTACGATCGTCGCATAACTACAACCACAAAAAAATTATTATAATTAGGATATATTATTTTAAAATGTAATAATTTCAACGGTATGTGTATTAAGCTCTTTAAGTCCTCTTTTTCAGTTTATAAGGACATCCATCTTATCCCTTATTCAGTTAAACTTAACCAAGTTATTAATTTACAATATATACATTATATCTGATAACACTTGCAGCAATGTTTACGATCACATAGTATATGTATTTCTTTGATTTGAATTCAATTTGAAGAGCTTTAAAAACTTTAATTTTACAATACTACACGTTATATTCCAATTATCTTCTTAATTCTTGTAATTATGTTACTTTTGATATGACGGTAATAAATTGTTTGTTGTAATAATTATTTTTCATAAAAATAATTACTAGTATCTATAATAATGACGTTGATGAAAAAGTATTTACAATATTTAAACTTAGCGTTTAATACAATGGTACTGCTGTATTCTGATAATTTAATATCACTAAATAAAATAATAGAACAGATTAAAATGGCATAGGATATTAAGGTGAATAAATTATGTTGATCTTTTTAAAATATTAACTATACACAATATATATGTACACGCAAACATTTATAGACAAAATATATACATAATATCATGATGAAAAATTGGCTAAAATGGATGTTTTATAAATTATTCCAAAAACACTTAAAAATAAAAAAAAATAAAGTAATTTATAATATTAAATGTGCCATTAAAAAAACATTTACGTTCAATTTAGTTTTATATTTATAAAATACACAAAAATTAACATATATTACAATAGTTTATGATTTTTTATCAATCCTGTAATGAATTTTTTACTAATGAGTTTTAGAAACTGCAAGTGTTTACAAAACGTATCATTAATCCAAAAATCATAAGATGTACTTTTAAATATATTTAGACCTTAAAAAAATGTTGAGTTTTAGTAGAATTAATTAATTATAAGTATTCTAACAATAAAGAATTTAGATCGATACGTGTAAAAATCCTCTGGAGTGTCCGTAATATAATGTATAATAAAGTTTATTTTTTACATTTCAAATACTTCAGCGGTATATCTTACTAAAATTATATCTAAAGGACCGAAAAGGCTAAGGCCAGAATATATATATATATATATATATATATATATACAACCATCCATGGAAAATATCTGGTAACCGGATACTTGTTAATTGTCAGGTCCCATTCCTGCGATATAGCAATAATAATGGTGACATCTAGAACGGTGAATAAAATTGGAAAACCAAAATATACACGATGCAATATAAAACGCATCGAGAGCAGCTATTAAAGCCCCGAACCTTTATATATATCCTTTTATTTTTTTTGCCTCTCCACTCGAATTGAACGACCTGTTTCTGAAACGATGACAAGGCGACTTGGCTTTAGCACACCGGAAGTATCATCCGTCGAGTCTCGGAAGTCATAAACACTGCGCTAGGAGGATTTTCGGCATTACATTGCCACTTTATTTATACATATATATTTTGTTTTCTGTCCGCTCTGTTATTGCCAGATAAATCGTCGAACAGTTTTGCGTTCAATTTTTATGGCCTTCAAATGCGTAGAGTATGCACTTAAATCCGACTCAATAGTTGTCTTCTACGTGTATCCTCGAATGGCATGAAATCAGTGCGTTAAGCTGAAAATTACATTTATGGGATATGCATGATTGAGTTGTACGGTTTTCTTATTGCCTTTAGAATTTTATTTTTTATTTATTTATTTTTTTTTTTATCAACGCTCAACCTGCTGCAGTCTAATTTAAAATCGCATTATTGTTAAAAACATAATAATTATCTTACGACCCATTGTAGATAATATATAATATTAGCTTACGGTTGTAGATTTTATGCTCACAGTCCACGTTTAGATCTGATTATCTAAAGACAATCAAATAAACATTGGAAGTATTTTCGATTACATAGAAATATATATATATATAAACATAATATGCATGAACAGAAACTTTCTAATTTTCTCATTTTCTCGATTAGAATTCACGTTTTTTTCGTGCAGAATGTTAACGGTGATCGTACGTCAAATGTGTTTCGAAAAATAACCGATTGAACTGTTGACGAGATCAACTGGTGAAATCGGAAAAATAGTACTCAGCCAACACTAAGTATAGCAAAAAGTTGTTATGTTTAGCAGCTCACATTGACGTCCATATATAGAAGTATTTTTTGAATCACACAATTCGTTACATCTCATCACTTTTGAGATACATAATATATGGTTTCAGTATTTCCAAAATATGACGATTCGTTGCATTGATTTTTTTTTTCCTTTTTTTTAGAAATCGGTTAAATCTTCTACACACAAAACATATAACATCAATATAATCTTGTGTAACGAAACGCACTGAAAATAATTAGACCTCATGCCCCGAGGATGGATCACGATAAAACCGGCCCATACACTTGCGCGTTTTTCACACGTGAACGTGAATCTTCACCGTAGTCGAGTAAAGTATTAATAGTCATATGACGGTCGAGCGCGACCCGCGGTGTATACCAACGGTTACCGGGAGTATATAATATCAATCAAGCTATAAATAATATTATAATAACATATATATAACTTATATTTTTTTTAAATTAATTTTACTTATTATTTCATTTTTATATTCAACGACGAAAACAATATTTTTGATGTACATAATTACGAAACGAAAAAAAACAATATTTTTAACCTACCTTTAGCAATAAAATATTTAATGTTACTATCGACAGTCCTAAGTCTGTATTAAATGGGAAGGAAAGTAATGTATTTATAACGGATGCAATTAATATAGTTGTTAAATATTATCGGGACGCAATTCATATGAAAAAGGAATCTTGGGACGTAATTCGTTTGCAGCGATTATTAATGCTACACTTATGCAGAAGCACACAGAAGAGTTAGCAGCTACCAACCATTTATTCAGAGGACCAATGGACGTCCAAGAAGGTAAATTCTATAACTCTTAAATGTAGACAATTGAAATCGGCTGTTCTACTCTTTATTTCGAAGTATACCAAAGCGTTTCAACGTTTGATACGAGACGGACAATCAGCACCTTAAAACCTTAACCCATGGATAGGAACGCAGTTACGAAGGGTTTTAGGGGCATTGTAGCGTCCCTGCACCACCGAAATTCCAGACCTGAATCCTCGATAAAACGTCAATTATGTCCCTTAACTCTGCCGTGGTCGACGGGAGCGTTGCACCGTCATATTAAAATGTGGTCAACCGTTCGACGGGTGGTAGGTATACCTGCGGTTTGGGCCTGTTACCACTATTCGGATTTCGGTGTACTCCACTGTATGTATAATGATATATATATAGATAAACGTATAGGTGTACTACGCCTACGTCGTTACCGCGTGATCACAGCGACAACAGACCGTCGGCCATTGCTCTAGCGCGGCCGACGGAGCCGAAGAAACCGTTTTGCCGGTAACGATGACAAACGATCGGACGATCGAACGGACCTTTGCAGCCCTCAGTAGCAGGACACAGCCACCAGGCCCATGGTGACGTGGGCCTTTCGACCGCCATCACCGGTAACACTCTCTCGCATTCCGCCGTCCCTGATTCTGCTAGTCGATCGCGCGGTCCCCCCGAGTCCACCTCGTCCCTCGCTTCCGGTACGGCTGCCCCGTTCCGCTGCCATTCCGCCGTTCCGCGGTCGCGTCCGTGACGGTACACCCTCAGCACCAGATCCGTCAGCTGGTCCGCGGAGAGCGGCTGCTCCTGTTGGCGCCCACAGTGCCCAGCCGCCCGTCGCCCGAGCCGCGGTGGCCGTCTGCCGCTACCGCGACCGCACGACGACCGGCGCCTGCGTTGTGCCGAGCTCCGGCGGCCGACGGTCGCGGACGCCTGCAGCCGATGCCGTTTGGTCCGGGGCGGCCGCTCGGGCGGCGATTCCGTGTCTAGCCGCGTTAATATCACGTACCGCCACTTGTCACCTTCCAACCGGTCCGGATCCGCCGGAAACGGTGCGCTGATGATCGGCTTCTTCCTCTTATTCCTGAAACAACAACGCGAACGAGAAACGATTACAGTGAGAAATCCACGAACGAGCCAACACGAGTTCGTTCCCACTTCATTCAATTGGTTTTGACGGATAGCGTTTTCAAAAACGTTTCTTGTCTAGCGTTAGCGTCTACAATTCGAATGGCTATTACTTCCGCAACGGTACATGTGCACGGTGGCGTGCGCAGGCAGGATGGTTGGGGATGTCCCCCCCCCCCGTGGATCCTTTTTTTTATTTTTTAACATCGGACGTTCATCGACATAATATGTAGTTTAGTCATAATTTTTGAAAACAACATTTTTTTAACAAAAACATGTTCCGTAGTGATAAATAAAGATAGAACATTTTTGTTGTTCCGGTCTATGGCTATGGGAGACTTCCCTTACCGAATTCCTGCGCTGCGTGGGTATATGACATTAGGTATGAGGCCGGTACCTCTGAGCACCTCTGAGCGCAGCGAGTGATCCCCGACAACCATTTTTTGACGGAGCATCCGAGTTGGGTCCCGGATTTTAGGTACTAAAATTTATTTTAAGTAATACACTAGTTGAGTCCTGAATTATTTCAGGTATTACACTAGTTCCTAAATATTTGTTGGTAAATACTAAATTATACTAACATTTTCCTTCCCATTTTAACAGACTTAGGACTGTCTACGATCTATTTAGATCACAAGTATGGTTAAAAATGTTTTTAAAGTTTTTTTTTTTTGTTTTTTAGTTTGTTTACCATTAAAATATAAATTATTCGAATTGTGTTGGTAAAAGTACTAAAAATGTTGAAATCATATAATGTAAATAAAAATTAATGGAAAAGAAACTAAAAAAAAAAACAATAAAAAACATTTTTAACCACGCCTGTGGTCTAAATAGATTATAGACAGTCTTAAGTTTGTCAAAATGAGAAGGAAAATGTTAGAAAATGTTAGTATAATATAGTGCTTACCAAAAAATATTCAGGAACAAGTGTAGTACTTATAAAAATCCAGGACCCAACTAGTGTAGTACCTATTTTAAATTCGTTACCCAATTTGGTTGCAGCCTTTTTTAAAGATGCACAAAAATATTTCGTCTATTCGTTCTCCGTTATTTTGATCACTTGAAAATTAGCTAGTGACTTGAATTGCCGGTGGAGTCCATGGATAGTTTTTATTACAAGGAACCGGTGGAATCGATACACTATCGGAAGCCCGATTGGGAATGTAAAAACTTCGGAAAAGCGGCAACTATTTGGAAATCTTGTGAAAAATATCGGGAGTCGAATGGGACAATGCCAAGAACCATAAGCAAGTGTTCTTGCTGAATAATATATCACGGGTCAGTAGCATGCCGAAGATAGGTCGAAATGATGGCCAGACAACGTGACCAAAATTGGTGGACGACTAAAAATATACAAAATCATGGGTCATATTGTTTTAATATTCTTGTCATTTGATTACGTGTCATGGTATAAGGACGATGTACCAAACAAGAGTAGGCGACAAAACATTAAAAGTCTCGGCAAGCAGCTATACCCGGATAATATACTACGCGCTATGCAAATTATGAGATTTTTCACGAATATAAACTTTGTGAATGATATTTGAAGCTAATGCGAATGGAATACTCGTATATTGGATTTATTCTACATAGGCATAACCTAAAGAATTTTTTTTATATTTATATTTAATTTTTCTTATATTTTATGTTTTTATACACCGCGAAATATTATATGTTTTAATTGTAATTAGTTTTTAACAGTAAATAATACCCTCATTATAGCCTTGAATATTGTAATTTGAGTAACAGTACTCGTCTCGTATCTGCGGATACTAAATTAATACCAATCGATAGACTACAATCGTTGATCATCGTTTTTATTTAATCCAAATTTTTTACCGAGTTTCTTTAGTTTTATATTTTATATTAGCATGGTTTTTTTTTTTCTATATAATTTCATTTATTGAACAAGTATGGCGTAATTCCAGTACAGAGGCATATTTATGAAAAAGTTTTATACACACGGGTAGTAGGACGGTAAAATTTTAATATTGAAAATTTAATCTGAGAACGCTTTTTACTTTTATTCACACACGTTATTTTTTTTATTTTTCAGCACCATAAGATTATTATAGGTAATTGCCCTTTCACTTTAAAGCTAATTCATTATAATTGGCGTGTGATTTTATTTTTATACGAATAGAATACATTGTTACATTTTTGATATTATATTTATATCGCTAAAAGGGGGGGGGGATTAAGTTGAAAACTAATTAGTGAGTATTGCGTGTAATGAAATATACTATTTTACAAACAATATTTCAGTAGATATAATTATTAGGTGGGTAAGGTGGCTTCGTACAATATATACTTGTGCTTAGATATTAATAACAATATTAAGACTAGTCTAATTCTATCAATATAATTAAATATACTAAGAGTATAGTGTACAAAATAAATATTCATTAAGCATAGTTTATTGTTTTTTATACAAGTGAAATGATCATCTACATAAATGTATTATGTATTATAATGTGTTAAGGTCAATGTTAACACTCTACCGCGATATTAAAATACCGTATTCATGTCAGGATCTACAAAAATGTAGGTAGGTTTATCCTCAACATTAAAAAATTAATTTATAAATCAATTATATTAAAAAACTGTTCAGCCTATTATTGATTTTATTTGACGATTCTATGTGTATAATTTTACATTTAGATAATTTTTACATAGTTTTCCATAACTACACAACTAACAGTTTTACACAGTTATTTGAGAAAATTCGACATAATATTGATTTCAAATCCTACCATATATCATAACGTGCACATTTTTAGTTGTTCATTTAACCAAAAAATTTGAAATAGTTATTATTGAGCACATCTGAAGAAGACAAAAAATGTTCATCGCTCAAAATGACTGGTTGCATAAAAAAATGTTACTTCAAGCTATCGCGATCACGAGACGTTGTAGCAACATTTTTAACATGACATCAATGTTGTTCGAGTTACGATAGTTTACAATAACTATTGATTTGATTCAAACGCGTATTACCATGTATTACTTTTGATGGTTTAAATTATTTCACTACCCGTTATTATGTTTCGTATTACGCGCACAATTTTCATACTGCCGTATCGTTAACGGAAATTATTCTGTCGCGGTTGAAATATAATACTGTACATCGCAAAACCGCCCATCGTTTTATACAGTTAATTGAATCGTTCTAAAAGTTGCTTCTCTGTTAAGATATGAATGCTTCAAAACTATCGAACCATCGTCCTTGTTCGCCGCCAAAACTCGGTGTATACACCTGTTTTCGTTTCGATTGATGATACGGAATGTCCACGTTAAGCGGCAAAGTTGTTTAATACGTCGCGTCAGGATTATATTGTATTGGTCTACTGCAGACACGAATGTATTGAAACAAATGCGCTGTAGATAAAGACCGCTGGTTATACCAAGAACCATTTGCAATCAAACGCGACAGCAGCTCTCGGAAAATAAACGAGGATATATTTATTATTGTTATTATTACGTATAATATTATTATTATTGTTATTTCTGTTACAGTCTACGCCGTGAAGAATATACGCGCGTATATTATTCAAGGTCTCTTGTGGATTTACGTTTATTATATATTTTTTTAATTGCCTAATAAACGGCCACTGAAGTGTACGACTGCGTAAAGTTTTCGAAACGATCGCCGTCTCCATAATAAAACGCCTGGACGGAAGTTTCGCGAAAACGTTTGCGAGTTTATTAACTACACGGTATAGGTATACACTGCACATTATTATTGTTATGATTCAACGTGGTCGCGCGTTGTTTTATGAATCGTATTTTAATTTCGTCGTGTTTTGCGTTCGTCTCAAGTTCTACGAACCGACTTACCGTTATACCCTGTTGAAATGTGATTCATGCCAAAGTAAATTTTATTCGAGTATATTATTGTAATTCTTACGGTCTAGTCGTGTCCACACGGTGATTTCACCCGTTGATAAACCGTTCGCTATTTGACTGTTTACTTGTACAAAATAATGTATTATTCAAATCCCGTTCACAATCACAATGGAAACATATAAAACCGTTCACACTCGACACCGCGTAGTCGGAATTAGTCAGGAGGGGAATGTAATGATATAGCTAGTACTTGGAAAATTGTACAAGTAAAATAGGCTAAGAGGAGAGTTTAAACCCTTCATCTCCCAACTGGATAAGCCATTGAGGACGGTATACCGGATTTATAATTCCGATGATATTTTTAAGCGAACTCGTTTTCGAATAAATTCGTGTTAGTTATTGTTTTTGGTGTTTTTAGAAATTATTTCTTGGTGATAGCGTGCGCGCTTAATTCAATTATCTGACTGTTAATACATTTAAAATTCTATTTAAAAAATTCATCTATTTTTGCGCAATTTTATAAATCATCCGTACCTATCACGATATCGGCTCAAGAAATTTGATCGTAAAATGTTAATTTTTTTTTGCTTTACGGCCTCCTACACATCAATTACAATATATTATTATAGCAATATGCGAATTATATTTTGCCTTAAGTCACTTATTACTGTTCTCATTTATTCACATTTATAGATTTATTTAAGTTTCTTTTAGTAACGATAATAAAACAATAAATTATACACCACGCAACTTAAGTGTTCATAATGAACATTTTATTATTTGAATATTAACTTAATAAAACAAATTAATTGCTCTTGAAAAATAAAATCTTCAAAGGATTTTTAATTTGTTCTACACCGTTTTATAAATATTTTGTGTTTTACTTAAATAATGATCTTTTTACTCTTTATGCATGAATATCAAATGTTGATAGTTATATTTTATTATTGAACAAATCACATCTGACAAAACATTAATTTATTTTAATATTATGTAGTACACTTAATATTTTATAATTACCGGTAAATCTTGTACAAGTTTAATTTTTGTAACGGCAAAACTAAAAATATGACTTTTATATTATTATTACCAAATATTATGAACATTTTACTTTTTCAGACAATAAATTGTCATATTATTTTATTTTCAAAGAATTATTAATGCATTATTATTTTACGAAAATATGAATTTATAATATATTTATATTTATTTATTTAATATCAATCGCTCCATACTATTTGCGTTTCACGTTTATACTTAGTATATCTAAGTGTTTATATTTATTCTGTATATTCATTTACTCGCTTATATAGGTATTGAGCAACAATATCTAGGTACATATTTATCGTTAAAGATTAATTGCAGTACGGGGAATGTTGGATAGACCATACACTCCACTCTATAAATGTGGACAAGTTCAAACCATCAATTATATCATCCAGATTTAATTACTAACAAAATATGAGGAAGAAAAAGGAGGGCTCTACAAAGGCAACAGTAAGGTATAAGAATGACTATGCAGCCTAGAAGTGCGCCTCTAGAAACGGATATAAGCCATAGCTCTATGTATGTAGCAAATATTTATTAGTTAGTTGGCATGTTTAAAAGTTTATACATGTTTTCATCAAAAATGCCATAGGGAATAAAAAAAAATTGTAGTATGATATTCTTTAGAATATAAATTATATTTTACCTACCTAATTTTTATAGTATATGCAGAAAACTTCAGAAAGGTGAATCTTAAATATAATATTATTATCGAAGTATTCTATTAGATATATTTCTTATAATAAACTAGTGTAATTGTTTCATAGTATATATAATTTCAAATTATTCAAATTTCACCTCATTAAGGTTTTCAGAAGAATAAATTGGACATGAACAATTACCAAAATTAACTCAAGGTTTTCAACCTATAGCGTTAATCTTTTGTAATAAATTTAAAAAAAAATAAGTAAAACCATTGATTTGTTTGATTTGATTTGTTTGTATAATTGCATACAAGGTTTATTATGTAAATTATGTATTATGTATAATAAAAAAATGTAGGTATATATTTAGTTTGCATATATTACATATACAGTGGTTTTCTCAGTGGCACTCACACTGCACTCACAAAATAGTAGTTTTAGTCATTTTTCAACATTATTGAAACTTTATATACACCCATTTTAAACCATAAGCTTATTTTGAAACAAATATATAATAATAATTTGATGGTGAGAACTTAACAGAAAAAACCATTTTTCATTGTTTTTTTTTTCTTGCTATTTGCCTTCTATAAAATATTTATAAAAAACGATAGGCGTTTATAAATAAGTTAAAAGGTTAATTTTTCAAGATTTTTTTATTTACTACACTTTGTGTCTTATTAACTTAACTAGTTTAAATATAGCCACGGTAAGAACTTAGCCTTTCCCGGTAAGTTTGAAAAATAATTAGCAAACTAAATATTCACATTATAATTTATACTCAGTATTTCATTAAGTTTAAAATAGAAGACCTAATTATACGTAGATAATTATTAATTAGTAATTTCTATGTATTATTTTTTCGTGCATTATAATCATGTTTAACCATACGATTAATTATTACTTATAAATTCAAAAGGATAATTAATTCTATGTTCTCTGGATTCTTATTATTTACTTTTTTAGAATAAATTACGTTAGTATTATTTTCATATTTTAATCGTAAAAATAACACTTTTATGTTTACATAGTTTAACTTAATTGAGTTGATATTTATCTTTAATTTTTTCATTTTTATTAAATATTTGTATTGTATGATTTTAGCTTGATATTTTACTGCTTTAATCCGCTATTCAAAATGTATATGTAATTATTTAAACTTTTTCTGTCAAATATCTGTTAAAACAGTCGAGTCGTGATAACTCGAAATTGAGGGGGGGGGTAAAAATGCACTTCGGGATGTATATTATTCGAGATATCTAACTAATTTTATATGGGAAGATTTTTCTAGGAGAATAAAATACAATTCGAATCGCGACTGGAATGTATAAACAATAAGTGTAATTATATTGGCACCAAATATTAAATAATACCTGAGAAAATTATGCGTTACTGCGTTTTTATCAAAATCATATTCAGGAACATAATTTTTGTTGACATTTCTCACTTACTTATTAGGTTTTTTGTTTTTCTTATCACTCTTCGGACGTTTGTTCGAACATCGCATCCACTGAAAATTATACACACAACAGTTGTAATAAAAGTAAAAATATAAAATATAAGATAATAAATAATAATTGGACTACATAACGTGATAGAACAATATCAAGACAAAACTAAATTACTATTGAACATTAATATTATACTTTTTATGCAAAGTAAATTTATTACAATAACTTTATTTTATAAAAATAACGCCATATTTGTAATATTTCATCGTTCGGTCAGCGTAAACCATACCATCCAGTCGCATAAACACAATTTTTACAGGAACCTTTCAGACTGCGACGTAATGCACGTGTCACAATATTAATGCATTATAGTTGTGGTACATGTACCGAAATGTTCGACGTGTCGAAGACAATAAGTCATCATAACGATGTGTAAAACGACACAGTTACATATGTTTAATGTACATAATATGCGTGTATGATTAAATAGTAGGTTAGTGCTGTGATTTCGACAGCACAGCATTACCATGGGACATTCGTAATGTATTATGTCATGATGGTATAATATATACGAATTCCAATACGAGTGCATATATATTAATATCACTTGACCTTGGACTATTCGTCACTCTGCGGTGATCTAAGCGGGAGACGAGTTAATTTTTGGCAGATGTGCTATTAATTAAACAATCCCACCGAGAGGTTTTCGAAAAGGCACATTTCATAAAAAGCACATTTCAAGCGCGCGCACATGTATGTACCTACACATACGCATACATACACACACACCTACACACACTCGCACGCATCGAAGGCGTTTCTTTTTTTTTGGAAGTTCTCATACAAGCATCTACAAACTTCAAGGTTCCTTCATAAACTATTCACCACTCCAAAAATCGGTAACACTAATTTTTTTGTGTTCTTGTCAAATTTCATACGAGCGTAACAAATTTAAATAATTTAAAGTGTATAGAATGAACATGTAATATAATAGTATCACTTTTTAATATATTCTTTTATCATATTCTTTTTCTTTTTTTTTACTAAATACAATTTTGATAGTAATTATTAAGTAAAAATGCTACAACAGTCGAAAATCTATTAGATCCATGTTAACTCCTGCAGTGCATTATAATATAAAAATTAATTACGACTTCTACATGTCCAATAATAGTTTGTCGTTGTATAATTATTATAATATTAATCATTGAAGTTTATATTATGTATTCGTAGGTATAACGCATTTACACTTTTCGGATAATTATTGAATACTGGGCATCAGCTATCACTTATCTTATGCAATATACTTAAATTTTATAAGAGTTATATATTTTATTGCTTGAATATAATATAAAAGTTAAAATTATTAATATTTTATAAAAAATATTTATAAAATTATAATTAAAATAATTATAATATATTTATACAATTTCATGAATTTTATTATTCTACAGTAATATAAAGGGAAGGATAAAATATATGGTACAAATATGAACATTTATCAATTATAATCCATCAATAGGTTTCAACATTTCTAGAACAATGTACAAATTCCAAATTTAAATTAATGGCATTTGCTATTCTTAATAAATTACGTTATTATATTAACTAAATATTTTATTTTCAAAAGAAAAAAGAATAACAAAATTATAGTCATCAGTTTTTAAATGTGTTAACTGTTTCACATAGTTTCAAAGCAATTAATATTGATAACATTTTATTATATTTTTATTGAAATTTTATTAATATTTACCATTCATTTTTATAGAATCTTTTACTAAAATAATTATTTTAGGTTTCTCTACGCTATAATAATTGCAAACCAATTTTAAATATGAAAAATATTGTTGTAATCAACTAATGATTATTCTTAAATTTTTAAAGCTATTTAAACTTATACATTTACATCCGTAATAAATATTATATCGTTGTAGTAAAATGTCTTTTATGTGGTAGAAAGATGTATAAAATAAATCTTATTATAACTTTGAGATGTAAAATAAATAAAAGAAATATACATAAAAGTAGTTTAACAGTTATAATGTGTTTATTACTCAATTATATTGTAGTTTAAGTACACAAAATAATGCAATAGAATTTCAGTATTTTTAACCAAACCAATTTCAGTATAATTTATAAGTAGACACCTAGAGTTTTTCTTTCGAGCCCTAATCTTTATTCATTAAACAAATGTAACATTTTTAAATTCATATGTACCTAATAGAAATGTAAACTTTTAAAACTTTAAGCAATAAACCTCCATATTTGTTTAAAAGTAATAAATGAATAATCTATGTCCAGTAGTTATTCGTAAATTTATAAACAAATTGTTTTTTTTTATTAAAATAATTTATGCGTTTTTATGTACAATAAATAAATATAAAGAATATTTAACCTAAGATTTTATATTTCCTTATAACTCATATCAATCTTATATGTAGACATATGTAAGATATATATATATATTTATAATTTTAATTTATATGCTTTACGTAATTGCATTTATGGCTTATTCATTCTTTTCATCATTTATTATAATTATAGTTAATACAACACACAATTTTTATACTTACAAAAAGTCAAAAAAAAAAAAAACAACCCTAATGTTCAAATAATAAATCAAAACTGTTATTCATATAATTAGTATTATGGTCCAATAGATAATCGAACTTTGTCGAGCGTACCTATTGTGTTTAGAAATCATTCAACATTAAAATGATCAACAATTTTACGCTGCAACTCGTTTGCGCATAATCAAAATTTTTTACCTGAAAATTGACAACTCGTTTGCACACGACAAAATCAGTTGTTTACCAGAAAATAAATAACTCGTTTGCGCACAACGACAAATTCACACATATGACCCGTAAAGTTTCAGTAGGTATGGACTATAGATAATGGATGGTATAGTGACGACTAGTATGTTGACGACATAAACTTTAATATGACATAGAAATTTCTAATACTTTTGAATCTTGATGAGGAAAACAATGTTTTAATATTGATAATTATAAATTTAATGAATACCGTGTTTTAATGAGTGGATGTTTAAATTTTAGATGCACTAAGAAAAAATGTCCTGCGAGTGTTATTGTTAATAACTCAAACAAAATAATAAAAGTAACCAACTCTCATAATCATGAGTAGTATAATAATCAATGATAATAAGCAAACGAGTTCCGACACTAGGGATTTTCGTCACAGGTAGCCAAAATATATGTGCGCAATCGAGTTGTGTATTTTTGCGCAAATGAGTTGTAAAAAAGGTAAATGTGCGCAAACGAGTTGTAGCTACAATTTTATTATGGAACATTTTTTAAATAAATATAAGATAATAGACTTTGATGACTGATAATTAATCTGTAAACAAGATAAGGAAAAAATATAATGATGAATACAAAATAAAACTTTAAGTTAGGTAAATCGATTTATAAAAATAAGTATAATATTTTAAATCTAAGTGTTACTTGCAACTGATAATATTAATTTCATGATAATTTATAGCAACATTTAAAGCGTTTTATTAAATATAATATTGTATGGATTTTAAAAATTTATAATTTTTAAGATTTTGATTCATCATCTAGAATCTTAAAAATTTAATTTAAACGATATTTTTTATATTGTTATTCATTTATTTTATCAGTCACTATTTTATTTTTCGTTAATGCTATTTCAAAAAATTATATCGACTTGATAAACGCTGCGGAATGAACTGCGAAGTCAAAAAAATTTGGTTTTACCTGTTTGGGGTAATTGAAAATGATCTTCCTGTACAATCCGTCAACCCTCGATGCCCCGCCATCCTTCCTTCTGCACAGACCGCTGCCCATTTCAAGGGGAGAAGTAATCGACCCGTCGTCACCACTCCGACACTACACCGCGGCCGTTGGTCAGAGGGTAAGTAATAATATTGTTTTCTTGAGAAACGATAACTATATATGCGTATAAATTTATCAATCAAAAATATGGATTTCCAATAGAAACAACCACAGAAATAACTGAGGTAAAAATCAAACGATGACCACAACATTTACCGACAACCAACCGAACCAACAGTGCGGCGGCCGTGTGATTTGATAACTTACGATACACACATCGTTGTGGTCGTCTCCCACCTTTTCTTTTCCGCCGTAGACGCCTCTCAGGCACGCGAGATGCTGTTTTCTTTATTTATGTATTAACGTTATTTTTTTTTTTTTTCTACTAATTTTTACGCTATCATAACACTATCGTGACGTACAATTGCAATGAATAAACATTAAGTCCGGGGTTTGACATGACACCTCAAATTAAATATTTACAATTTGAACTACCATAGTAGCAACTAATTTGTAACGATTTTTAAAGGAAGTTCAAAATTAGTGACATGAATCTTTAAAATTAATGTCATATGATTCAGTGGTATGATATGCGACAAGCTGTAACAAAAAAATCTACACTCAGGGACGGATTTTAAAATATCGCTCCGGGACCAATTATTATCTAACTGTTCTCTAGGTACATTTCCCTGGCACCACAATGTTGAAAAATTCATAATTTTTTTGCACCATTAATTGTACCATAATGTGTACCAATTTATACCACTAATTTGAGAATTTGTACCAACGAATTTCCCACGGAAAAATCGATTTCTCTATACGGGTGTCAGGGATACGTTTTCCAGGGAAAGTTACATAAGATATTATACTTTATTATATCGTATTATGTGATTGTGTTTCTTTTTTTACCAATTGAATAAAATCGTATTAACATCCAAATTTCGCACTCGTAGAACAACAAAATCAGGATTTATATGAACGTAAATAATATTTTGTAGGTTGAAAACCCGCAAATAATATTACCTGTTATGAAATATATAACATGGTACAGTGCAATAAATATAACCAACAATACTATTGCACGCTAAAATTGACACATATTTTGTTAAGTTATTAATTATATGTTTGATTGAACTTGTGAACATTTATCAATCAAGGATTTTCTTTTATTGAAATGTTCGTTAAAAGATTTGAAATAACATTATTTGTAGAAAACTGATTTTTATATAAATTAAATGAACATCGGCTGTTTAAAATAAAAACATAGACTTATACAACGTGTTAACATTTAGCCCCCGACGACGTTTATTGCATATTTAAAAAATTCCAATCGTGTTGATTAACATTATTTACACGTCTCACAATGGGTACGGTCTTATAATTATTAATCAAAGAATAATTTATCCGTGTAAAATGTTACGGAGAGATGTACTAAGTCGATTATCTGAATCAATATAATAATAATAATATACATTAATAGATTAAAATAAGTTTAAATAGTTTTTATTAGCCAAAAGTAAATTTAGATAGCATGCAAGTTGCTTGTTTATTTTTATTCCAGTTTATTTCCTAGAAAAATATACCAATAAGCGAGACTGGGGAATCTCATAATCTTAATATTATACAATGTCTATAATGTTTATTATTATTACCAATGTCGTATATAGGAGGGTGCCTAGTGGTCTACAGCCCCCCCTCCCCTCAAAATGTTTCAAAAAACTTAAAAAATATTTTAAACGTTTGTTATATTTTAATGGTGTTCTATACTGATTTAGAAATAATTTAAAAAAAAAAAAATAGAAAAATTATATATTATTTAATAATATTTAATTTTTAGATTGAGTTTTTTTATAATTATTATCACCAAGGTACACGGTGTTGTACAATTTTTTTATACCACCTATCTTTATTAGTATTTTATTTAACTATTGAGAATTTTTATTTGTACTTTAGTTATTGTTATTATCAATAAGGTAGAAGGTGAACCTTTATTATATTAAATTTTAAGTCAAATAAACATTAAATGTGTTATCCTTTGTTGAACTAAGACATGCTATGGGAAGAATTTATTGTCATCTATTGCCCTCACAAAACTGGGAACAAGTATTTGAAAATTATTTATCCGATTTCCTCTAAAATTATGTGGGAGCTATTATATCAATATAATAAAACAATTACCAATGACCAGTTTTTGATGGTAGTAAAAATTTTAAATATTTATTAACCGATTTAATCAGGTTGGATTAGGTAAGGTTAAATATATTTATTTATGCCACATACTTTGATATCAATTATTAATCATTGATAATGTATTAGAGCGTAAACAGATATCATTAAATTAGTTATAATATCTACTATCTAATAAGTTCGTCATTCTGACTTCTAATTCCATTTGCTTCTCACAACCCCTTGCAACTCATAGTGGTTGCCCTTAAGTATAAACTGAAAAAGTTCCCAACGTTCCCTCCTTTTATTTTTTTTCGTGTTTTTATTATGTTCCAGTATTTTATTTTTAAAAATTTAGAAATGTAGCTTATGAGTTATGGGATAACAATTCTGAAATGAGTGGTACAAATTGGTAAAAATTATGGTACAATTAAAAGTGCAAAAAAATGTGGAATAATTCAATAGGTGTGATTTTGGGTGCCAGGGAAACGTTTCCCTAGCACCCGTAGAAAGAAATCGATTTTTCCGTGGGAAATTCGTTACAAATTCTGAAATTAGTGGTACTAATTGGTATAAATTATGGTACAATGAATGACGCAAAAAATTATGGATTTTTCAACATTATGGTGCCAGGGAAACGTACCTCTGTTCTCTTAGGTATTATTAAGAAACTAAATTATCGCATCGTAACAATATTATACCAACATTTTTAAATAAACATAAGCAGTTCAGTGATATTAATTTATTATAAGTTTAATTACAATTTAATAATACAATATCTAATAATTCCTTTTCGTTGATCCTATAACCTTCTCCCTAATATTTTCGTTTATCAATTATTCATTTTTCTTGAACAGTAGAATTATAAATATTCCACGATCCGAACAGAAAGAACGAATATATAAAATTTTAAAACGCATAATAATAGTTTAATTGATGACTTCGAAAAATAAGAAAATTTGGTTTAACATGACGTTTTGAAAATACAATTTTTCTATAGTAGTAAATTAATAAATCAGATAAAAATTATAAACATGTATATATAATTTTATTATATAGATAACGTGATTTATTGAGTATGTTTTAGCGAAAAAATTAAATGTTAGATACAATATTTTTTTTTAATTAATAGTAAAATAAAAATTATTAAAATTTGAGGAATTGAATAACCATTAAAATCAACTTCTGCCTACAATACTCATTTGTATTATATTATTACATTTAACCTACGGTATATATTTTCATCAAAAATAATGGTTAAAAAATATCGATTACTGACTCAATTTATTTAGGGCTTTGGAAGAGAGTTTTACTGCACTAGAACGCATACCATTAACCACATACTGAATTTGAGTGTGTGAGTGTGTGTGTGTAGACAAAGCCTTAAATGTCTGTCCAAATTTAAACGAATTACAATGTCCTCTTCCGCACGCGGTGTGCGAGCCTTCGTATACGTGTGTAAGTGTACTTTTGTTATCTTCGTGATGTAGGATACAATATTGATGTTCTTAAAATATATGGAGTTAAATGTGTGAATATTTTGAACTCAAGAGTTTCCGTCAACAACCATGCATGAATAAATCAATTCAAAAATTCAATAGAAATGGAACGAGCGACAGTACTTTTTTGGATACAGTTGATGGAATTCACTGCACATTTTTTCTTTTGAAATGTGTATGTATTAATTAATTTATGATCATTGTCAATAATAACAATAACTCTTTGAAATATACGATACATTATTTCTGTTGACTACCGATACAGTAATATGTATTCAATACGATATTTGAAACATAAATAAAATGAAAAAACACGAAATTTTTCATTCCGACATTAACAATATAAGTCTTGCAAATATTGCATAATATAAATCATGATTATTTGGTACGTTATGTGACTCTATATGTATATACATCGCAGTTGTTTGTAACTGTTATATCTTTGCTCGACAGTAAAGTATTGGTATTTGATACCTTTATAAAGATCACATCCAATGAATTGACCTAAATATTTGTTTTTGAAATAAATCAAAAGTTCCAATACTACATAACAATTATTTATCAATATAATAAATATAATATTATTAAAAATCCTTTGGTCCGATATCAGGAAATATACGCATGGTTTCGAAACGCATTCAAAATTGTAGTTACCTCTCATGAAAATTAGATAAATGTAAAAATTTAAACTAAAGCTCTCTTCCCTGCTCAGTTCGTGAAATCCCTGACAGGGCAATAACTTATATGAGGAACCGGACGTCCGGGTGCATCTGACCGCGGATTCATCGAGCTCCTAGTCGTAATTTATTGGCAAATTTCTACAGAATGACACCAGAAACATAAAAAAAAATAGAATTACTTGAATTTCATTAACATGCAAACCGGTAACAATTGATTACAAAAAAAAATAAAAAAAATAAAATAAACCGCTTATGAATTATTCAAAGCAGCAAACAAAATTGGAAACGCCAGCTTTTTTTCATTTTTATTCCTCGTCTCTTTATGCCGTCTCGTTCTGGCGAGCACCTTTTTGTTGGCCTTTGGCCCGATACAAAGGAAAGGGATGAAAGGGGGTGGACTGTCAGATTAAATCATATAAGCGCCCTTTTCGATCCGACAGCTGCTTGAACGCAAACGAGAAGGATTCGTAAATTTCAAAATTACATTTGGAAAACATTGATTAAATTTAGAATGCTTGTGGTTGAAAATGTTTTTATTTAACAAAATTTGGAAGTGAACAAGGAACCCAGACATAGTCTATCCCAATTACTCATACGTCAACAGCATTAAAATTAAAACAATTTAACTAACTTTTTGAGACAACTCGTATAACGAAACAGTTAGGTAATTACATTTTCATTTATAAACCTTCTATCAAAGTCAATGTAAACTGAAATTCAATGCAATATAAAAAAATGGTATTTATTATGAGTTCGAGTACTGCATCATTAAAATAACAATGTTATATATTGCAACTGATAATTGATATTTTAGATTATAGAATGATAACAATATTTAATATATTTATTTCAGTTTCAATAATCACTTATACTTATTATATTATATGCCTAT